TCGGCGGTCAATACTCGGCCACCGATGGAAAGGCTAAGGTCTGAAGCTTTGGCTGATGTCACTATCTTTCGTCCCGAGGCTAGACTCACCTCGAGAGGATCGACAGCGGTGACTGCCTGAACTCCGATGGCGTCGAGACACCGTCGGGAGATGAAGGTGTGCGTTGCTCCGGTATCGAATAACGCAAACACAGGAACATCATTAAGAACGATCATCCCAGACATTGTACCTGGTTGCTGTGCTGCCTCCGCCTGATCGACCGCGTAGACCCTGGACTGCTGCCTGCCTCTCTGCTGCTGCTGCTGCTGCTGCGGTCTCTGTGCCTGCTGAGGCTGCTGCTGAAGCTTCTTCGGGCAACGACTCGCGAAGTGTCCCGGCTCCTGGAAAAAATAACAAATGTCCTGTCCAGCACGACACTCTCCCCTGTGAAGTCGACCACAAGTCGGGCATGGTGGAATCAGTCTCTGTCAGGTCCTCCGGTCTGTCTGTGCACCCTTCGCCTTCCTCTTCTTGTCCTTTGCTGGCTGCGGAGCTGGTAGAGTTGGTGGAGCTGCAAATGGCTGAGCTGGGGCAGATGGCTGGGCATGATCACGAACGGCCTCCCTCCTAATGCTAGCGTCAACCTCCTGGGCGATAGAGACGGCTCGTGCATATGTCTGAGTCCCATGTCCCACAATGTTATGACGGACTGCTGGGTAAAGTCCGTCAATGAACCTCTGAGCTCTCTGGGCCTCCGTGCGAACAAGATCCGGTGCGAAACCTGCAAGTCTGGTGAACTCACGCTCGTACTCATCGACAGTACGAGTACCCTGCTGAAGCGCTAAGAACTGGCGCTCCATCTCTGCCCGATAGTACGAAGGGTAGTACTTGTCGCGGACAAGGTCCTTGAACATGTCCCATGTACAACCCGCCTTTTCCCCGGGGCGCATGCTCCAGTAGGCGTTCCACCAGAGCCTCGCGTCGCCAGTGAGCTGAAGCTGAGCGCAAACTACGCGGAACCTATCGGGGCATTCCATTACCTCGAAGATAAACTCCAACCCCTGAATCCATTCATCGACGATCCGGGGGTCGCCCTG